TGAACTAATTATAGTAGGTCAAATATAAAACAACGGTAAATCCCAGAGGCCTTATTTTAAATTTCGGATCTTTCTCGGTCGCCCTTCGGAGTATCATCGTGTAACATAAATTAATGTCAAAGATGAACATAAATTATTGCGCCTGCGATAAGCTAATAATATATACCGCTTTCAACATTCAAAATGGCGCCCGATGAAAATTGAAAACATTTACATGTAATTAAATTAAAAAGGTTAGTATAAACACAGGCGGCCCAATCTCGCAAGGGTCAGTGTAGACTTATAGTATAAATGTACATTATAGTAATGTATATTATAGTAAAAATATGTCATAAAATATAAATTTTAAAATGAAATTGACTTGCCTATTTGATAGTGTGTATTTTCCTTGTATTCCTCCTTTGTTGGACTAATATTTTCCGAGACTTTGTACTCGATGTTACTAGTATACATGAAACATGATAAAGGCTAACCATTCCCGATCGTCGATACGACCGCACGGCATTTCGAATCGAAAATTCTCATACTCAAATCGCTTTATTCTCCATAAAAATTCGCCAGCATGCACAACAGATGCCGTTCTTCGAAAATACGGAGATACTTCGGAGAGATGTACACGTTTTGGACCATATTTTAACAATGGAAATCAAAACCCATTTTATATTGAACTTGCCCAGGCCGAAAATTACTACGGCGAACGTCTGCGCAACCAGCCCTCCTTACCGTTGATATTTACAGGGGGGAAGGATGCCACTCTCTGGATGCCACTAATATATTAACGATCATATTTCGAATAAATTATCATATTCTGCCATGCTTTCCAACAAAGAGCCGCTGTATATTTCTTCTTCCTTAAATTCCTACAATATCCGTCGTTTAGTTTTCTTTTCTTCGACAACATCTCGAGTTTTATACAGTATCCGATCGAAGGAGTTTTTATTTTGAATATCAAATTTCAAATAATGTAAACAGTCGCTATCACGGTTGCGATTGGCTGGCTGTTGCCGGAAATATCTGCTTCCCCCCTGTAAATCTCAACGGTAAGGAGGCCTGGTTGCGCAGACGTTCGCCGTAGTAATTTTCGGCCTGGGCAAGTTCAATATAAAATGGGTTTTGATTTCCATTGTTAAAATATGGTCCAAAACGTGTACATCTCTCCGAAGTATCTCCGTATTTTC